CCCCTCGCGTGGCGTGTTGGAGGCCTCTGGTGCTCGCCACGGCGCTTTTCCCTGTGCTTGTCCCTCGGGAAACAGCTGGATTCCTTGGGGGCTGTTATTCTGCTAGAGATCTCTAGAGAAAGTAAATACTTGAGGCAAAATAACAGCAGATGTGCTCTTAAAAACACTCTGTTTAAGAAGAGTAAAGCTTGACACTTCTCCTAAAACTGATGAAGCTGTAACTTTTGTGAGAGTGACTATCCATAGCAGAATAGGGAAAATGATAAGGTGAAACTTCATGCATACTTTTGCTTCCTGTATGGCTTAGCATCTTTTAAATCCTTCTGAAGTCTCTTCAAGAGTCTTCCAATAGTATGTGGAGAAACCCTGTTAATGCTCCTGCCTGAAAAATATGTTGTTTAAAGAGGGAGCAGCACATCTAGGATGTCACACAAATAGGTGCTGCTCTCGGCCTGGCGTATGAGTACCATCTGATTTCTTTCTGTTGCAATATTAAGCATCCTATGGGATGGCAAAACTAGTCTTACAAGCAGCATGGCATCCTAATTTTGTTTTTAATTTAGGTGGTTAGCTTAAAGCCAACTTGGCTTTGCAGTGTGGACATCTGAAACTGGGAGAAGGGCATCTAAGTGTTTATGAAAGTAGACGTCTTCTAAAGCCCTATGTGTGTCCCTCTGAGGAGGGGGGAGTGGTTACATTTGGGTACTTTCTGGGTATTCATGTGGTTGAGTTCTCCAGATATGGAGTTGGGATGTGTACGGCTAGTTTTATTTAAGCTGTCAGGGTACTGCTGCTTGTACTTGGCTTCCCTGGCACTCTGTAGTAGTGTAGCCATTTAGTTTTGTAACTGTAGGTGTTCAATGGAGGTTTGCTTTTATGTTGAAAATCACGGAAGTGCTGATGTTGTCCTGTGGTTCAAAGATGTAGCTTAAGTGGCAGTAATGGTTTATGAAGGGAGAGTCTCAAAATAGTTAGAATTTCAATTTTGGTGATAAAAGCCAATACTACAGTTGCACATGGAATATGTAAAAATTGTCTAGGCTGTTTTGTGTTCCATTCTGGAATAGCCAAAGATTGTGGCTAGGAGATTAACAAAACTTCTCTCTAGCTGTTACTGGGTGGGATGCTTTGTTCCCTCCTGTACAACAGACCTTATTACATCAAAATATATAGGTGAAAATCTTGTTTAACAGGAATATGTGCTGTATGTGTGCCATGCAACTTGTGTGCCCTCTGACTGTTGGTACATGTTTTAAAAACTTGAAGTTGCATGAACTTCTTGCGATTGTTTAATATTTTCTATTTGCAGTGTTGGTAGCCTTATATGAAGAGCCAGAGAAACCAAATAGTGCACTGGAGTATCCTTTTTCTCTTCTGTGATTTGTTCGTAGAGACTTGATGCGAAGCAGCATACTGCTTCTGACTTGTAGGTTTAGAGGACTTACCTTGAGAACATGGCTTTTACAGATGCATTTTAGCTAATAATTGCATTCTTACAAGCTAACAGAACAGGATGCAGCAGAACTGTGCATATCAGTATGCCAGTAATTATGAAGCTAAGTAATTGGCCATTACAGAGTGTTGTAGACCTGCAGCATTAGATCTGAGTACTCACAGTGTCTGTGGCTTCTGAAGTTGGCTTCTTAACAATTCCTTTTATTTTTATAATACAAGAAGGGACAGAATGTCTTTTGTTTCTCGGTGTTTTTACGCAGCCTTCCTGTTTTGGCTATTGCTTCTGTCATTTGGCTATTCCTTCTAAATCTTCAAAACTTCAGTGTTTAAGAGAGGAAAAGAGGAGGAGGGTATAGTAAAACATGAGAATTTGTCCTGTGTGTACTGATGTTTTTTTGTTTTCTTATTTTTTTTGAGGAATGTATTGATGAATTTGAAAAGCTTTCTTATTTTTGTAACTTCATCCTGTAGGATGAAGAGCACTGTAGTAATCTTAAGTGGTTTAATGCAATTTCGGTCACGTGTATTGCAGCAGTAATTTCATTGTAAGTGTTAAAACTAAAATGCAGTATTTTATGTAACTGAAGAAATACTTAACATCTAAATATCAGCTTTCTGAAGCATCATCTGGGAGCTTCAGCTCCTGAGAATCCAGAAGTAGAGGCACTTCGCTTGGAAGTGGCAGAGATGAAAGAAAAATACGAAGCTCTGTTGGAAGAAAATAAAAAACTGAAAACCGAGGTAAAAGTCTACTTAGGTGTTCCTCAGTTGTTCTATACTACACAACAAGAAGAATATTTTAATACTTAGAATACAGCTAACTTTCTTCCATTAGAGTAACTGATAAATGTTGTTGCATTGTTCAGCCTTGTGGCTGATGAAAGCTGATAGGATTCATCGTAGTAAATTTTTTTTTGGATGGGATGCTTCTTGTATTCTATAACATATCATAGTATCGCTAAACTAGAGATTTTATTTATTTAGTGAAAGTATATGTTATTGAGGCTAATCCCATGTCTTCATTTGTTCCTGTCTGGATGTGCTTAAGTTGTCTGATGTTATGCAGCTCATGCTTCCACAATTGTTTTGAAAAAGAAAACAAATGATCTGTCTATTATAAAGTCTTTCAGAAGGGAAACCGAAGGAGGAATATTATATATTAGTTTGTGTGACCTGGCACAGACTTCCATGTGGCAGGATGTTACCAGTGGAGGCATGTGGAACCACGTATCCATGTGGAACAGTACTTTGCGCTTTTCAGCTAAAACAACCCTGGTATTCCTCTGTCTGCAACAACAGCAGATCTGAAGTGCTAGCTAAGGCAGAGCTATTCTTTAAGGGGTCTACAGGCTATCTGAAACAGCTGTGAGATGTGAACACCTTCCCCTTACCAGAGGGCACTGACTGTAAGCCTAACAACACTGAAGAAGGAAACCTTTGAGAACCTTAGTAAGCTAGTAGCTTATGTGCTGCTACAGGTTTCCGTGCATTTGTTGGAGGAGGATGGCTGTTGTTAAGTGTGAACATCCCTATGGGTTTTTTTACTGGGAGACAGCCACTCCACCTTAGTGTTGGGAGAAGGGATTCTTGGGCATTGCCCCTTTGTGTTTCTCATCTGGAGTCCCCTCTTGCGGTCCCAGTAATTCTCTTCCTTCTCTGTTACCCACTGTGAGTCCTTACAGCTACATTTGTTACTTCTCACTGGGAAATATGGCAAAGAGCAGAATTTTACGGGGAGTAGCCATAGACCAGCAGTTCACTTGGTGTAGCTGACTTAAAAATGCAACTGATAGTACGTAGATACGTGAAAGCAGAGTAACCTGGGTCTTTGTTTAAAAAAATCTTTTAAAGAAGTCAAAACTTGTTCCGGGAAAGTAAGCCTTTCCATAATCATGGTTTTTTTTGTGCTTTCACCTTCTTCAGCCTTCAAATGATAACTGTTATTTTGTGTTTTCCAGTATTAAGGTATTTGGTGGGTTTTTTTCGCCTTTCTTTCCACTCCCATCTTCTGCCTGTCATTCTGACATAGTGTAGAAGTTCACATGGACAGAATGCAAGGAGAAGACTACTGCTTGTCTTTTTTGCTATGCCTTTAACTCTGCATTTATTGGTAACTTGAATCATGTCCAGATAGGTGGTGTTCTTCTGTTGCATTCATCAATGAAGATCTGTTCTTTTCCTTACATTTATTGGTCAGAATGTTAGGTATTTGGGTGAGGCCAGGGGCAGGAAGTCAATAGTTAGCTCCTTTGTGGAAAAGAAGACTGACTTTGGATTGTGTACTGGCCGTCCTTTCTGGTAAAATCTACAGTAGCAACAAAATGCTATTTTAATGGTTCTTGTTAGTGCCATAGTGATTATTGTAACTTAGCATTGCTATGAGAAACACATGGGTATTTTAATTTATTTGATGTACTTTATTTTTAACCTACTCTGCAATTTGCAGGAGAGGGGAAGAATCTTAATTGAGGAAACTGGACTGGCATACTTCAGGGAGTCAGTCCTAATGTTTGAACTAATTGTGAAGCTTGAACTTATTTTTAATGTAACTGAGGTCAAGTAAACACATTCCTATGTTTCTTTGGAAATAACTTTACAAGTAAAGGTCATACTTTAGTGCATGGTTGCCTAGGCCATACTCTCCAGAAAGTGTTACGTCCAAATAGGACAAAGCCCAATGACAGTGAGAACTATTACAGGAAATGTTAGTTTGGGTACTGTTGCTGTAAGAATGACTGTTTCATTTAATCATGTTTCAGAGAAATCAAAGCTTGTAAGGCACTGATGATTATCAGCTGCTATTTGAGATGAGGAATAATGAGACCTAGAACAAGAAACAGGGAAGAATTAAGAGCAAGACCTATACACTTGAAAGTGCATTTGAAAAGCCCCCTTGTTATAGCAGCATGATTACACAGTATGACAAAGCGATGTTACTTTGTTGCCTGACTTGAAAATGGACTTGCATAAATATGTGATGGATTAAAATTTGCAAAGTAATTGGAACACTTCCAGACCAAACCTTTTCCTACATTTCTTAATGTAGCAAGTGTCTCTGAAATGTTGCAGCTAACTAATTCCTCTCTTTAAATCCACAGCTGGCTCATTACGAACCACCTCGAGAGGAGAAGCATGGTGAATAACAGTAGTTTCTCCTTTAATGCCATGACTTAATAAAGGGCTTCCTGAGAACTGCAGTCCTTTTTTTGTGTGTGTGAATGCTGCATGAACTCTGCATGTCTACTTTGTTACCTCATCATCTTAAAGAAAAAAATGCAATATTGTGAGTGTACAGCTGTTTTTGTGCAGTTGCAGCAGCAACTGAGTTTGAGCATACTGGCCAACTTTCTTGCTTTCTGTGTTTAAGAAAAGGTGATAGTTATGATTACCTTGTAGATGACTGTGCCTGCTGACTTTGTGTAAATTTCACATCGTGGTCAATGGTCCTGTTAAGCTGCTGATCTCTCTCTTGCTTTTATTTTATCTGCAAGGGGTGACATGACACAGATGGACCAACTGTAGACTAAAGCAGGACCTCCAAGGTATGTTTTGAGTTGGTACTCAGCACTGAGGTTAGGCTTCTGCTGAAGGTGATAGGGTAACTGTCTACTCAGAGGGGCACAAATGAACAGGTATAGTTATGTTAAGTGATGGACATAGCACAATGTTAGAGATGCAGTACCTTTTTTTCTTAACACTTTTTAATTTGCATGAGGTGTAACTATTTCCATGCAGTTCATGTCTGATCTCGTTTCAGAACTGGGCCTTGAAGTGTTGATCCCAGTAGTGCCTGGCCAGTTCTGAACAGAATACAGAATTTTTACTTGTAATGGCTGTCCTGTGTAATCAGACTGGGGCATGTAAGAGTACAATGCAGGGAGTTCTGCTTTCTGATTAGTCTAGTGGGGAAAAGAAAATGTAGGCAGGGCAGAAAATCCAAGGAAGGGGGGGTGTGTGTGTGTGACTTCTAATTTTGCTTCTGTGTTCTGTGGCCCCTATTTCCCTGCATCAGCCTCACAATTCTTCTCAAATGCAAAGTTGTCCTTTACCAAAAAAAAGATACATTTTAAAGAGCTGCCTTTGTCTTCTATCCTAAACAAGGTACTTTAAAGGCAAGTGATGACAGGAAAAATAAAGCAAGGAGGGGGGGGGGGGAAAGTAGCTGTATTACATATTAGATCTACTGGCTATTAGTTTAACTTCTTTGTTTCTAGGATGGATTTTGCAGCTTGTCTTACAGGTGTGGTGGAATGGATCAAAACTTCTGCTAAAGGCGATGTATGAACTGAAATCAACAGCTACTGAATGCAATAGTTGCTTACCTTACTACTTGTACCTATTATTGATCTACAGAGACCAGAATAGAGCTAAATGAGGGGAAAACAGTGTTAAATCTTTAAAACAACACAACCCCCCCACCCTGAACAAACAAAACCCCTGAAAAAAAATCCAAACAGGAAAAATGCCTTGCTGCCTGCAACAAAGGAGAGAACAAAGCTCGACTGTGAGTTAGAACACGCACCTAGCATTCAGTTGCAGCAGGTAGGGAGAGGATAAGGCTGTGGAAATGCCTCCTAGAGCTGAACCTGTGCTGCGAGTCGTGTCGCTGGAGGAAGACAGAAATGCTGTTCGGGGGCGCATCTTGTTGCAGCAGCAGCAGGCAGGTAAGGTAAGGTGTCCCGAGGCCAGAAGCACTCCTTGTCCGAGGCCTCGGGGACGAGGGCGGTCATACCCACCCGCGCGTTTCGTGGCTGAGAGCAGTCTGGCCCTGTGAGCCTTTCCTGAGGAGTGAAGGAGAGGCCCGTGTTTGCCTGCGCCCCTGCTC